GGGTTACATAGGGATATATAGGGTTCATGCGGGGCTTAGAGTTTAAGAACTTAAGTGTTCTGATCCAGGGGGGACCTTCATGAAGGCATGTCCCCAAGTTCCTGAATAGCAGCAACCCAGTTTTTGCAGTGGCGTTGAGGGATGGGGGTTCAAGGCTTTTGGATTCAGGGCTTGTGGTTGGGCGGCTTGAGGGTAAGGACCTGTTAGGAGAATAAGATGTACGTGGAAATTTATGTGAGGGTTCAAGTAAAGATTGGCCGGCCAGCTTGCATGATGCGCGCGATAGCCCGCGACAAGAATAAGATGTAAGACAGGGGTTAGTGTCTGGCTTGCAGGTTTTGCAGTTTACCTGTCGCTCTGCTTATCTACAGCTCAGTGGGCCTCCTAGCAGTTTGATACAGGCGTTGAGGCTGCGAAGCGATATTCAACGAAGTGAAAGGTAGGATTGCAATCCGAAGGTTTTAGCGTCAAAGTGTATGTAGTGCTATAGGAGGAATGGCAAAGCCCTCAATGCCACGGCATTGCAGCATTGAATGCTGCAACGCCATGCGTTGAGGTTTGCTGTGGGGTAAGGGCCTGTCAGCAAGAGAGACGCTTCCCATCAAAGCGTCACTCATCGCACTGGAATCCTCACAGCTAGGCACGGACCCAGCAACAGTGGTATAAGAGGAATATGGCAGTTTCCCAAAATAGGGGGACCCCAATTTGGACCTCAACATACCACAATCCTTCTTCTAGGGATCCCAAACATGGAACCCCCTGATTAAGGGTAACCCCTTTATAGGGGCCTTATCATCCTCTGTGGCTGCTATCAGTGGCTGGGTGCCTAATCTCAGGAATATATTAGGTACTGCGAACAGTTAGGTTATCGACATAACAACATACTTACGCACACACATACGCATATGTATATACATAGCCCCCCCCTCCCAATTTTTTATCCCTGCTACAGGCTGTTACTAGGTGGGGGCAGCAGCCAGGAATCCTTATTGTTTATTGTACGTTGTGCAGGTGGCCGCGCAGCACGGTGGCTCTGTGCCGCTGCATGGCCGTCTCTTTGCGCAGCTGCTCAGCCACGGTTTCAGATTTAGGTATTTTTGAGGTGAGCACTTATAAGAAGGCTCACAGAAATTTTGGATCCATATTGGGTCACTTTTTTATGGAAACTACCATGTCCGTGGGAGATCCTCAGAAACTTTGGTCTCTCAGAAGGGCCCTTTGTGAGAAGGCACAGCATTCGCATACGCGAAGAGCTGGATAGCGGGGTGAGCTCTGGGTTTAGGCTTTAGGGTTTAGGGGTCTAGGGCAGAAGAAGCACGCTCATCCACTACGCCTGGCCCCTGGAACAGAATCATCGGATGTCGAAATATACGATCTTATTGGGGGTAATGCTTCGCAAGCCGAAGCATGCAAGGCTGGACTTAGGGAGTTTACTTCAGGTTTCTGAGAAGTATGGTTTTCTTTTGGAGTCCATACATGCAGTTCGTTCTGTAGGTATGTCGCGTACCATGCTTTCAGAATTCGTCAGGTGGCTCTGTGAAGCCTCCAAGATCTGGTGAGTTGATCCTTGCAGGTCATGGCTATCATGCTTCATGTGTTTTTCTTTCACCCGAGTTTCTTATGAGCTTATCTCTCTTGATTAGCACCATGTGGGCTCTTTTGGGGGTATTTATAATCAGGCGAGTGACTTGGAGAAGCTCCCATTTAGGTCCCTCTCGCCGGAGGTCTCGGGTTCTGTAGGCGGGAAAAGAGGCTCTATGGGGCAGTAATCATAGCATTTTGTCTTGACTCCACAGGGCGGGGAGAGAACTTGAAGCGCTCCAGTCCAGGGAGCATTTCTCTTGGAATTCTCACTCGCTTGACCCCACTCGCGGACTAAGGTGGCTGCATCATGCTTACCCAAGGGAGTGCCCGCGGCTTGGGCTGACTGAATAAAGTGAGTTCTTTCTGGCTGGCCACATGTTAAAAATGCTGAGTGGGGGGGCGGGGATGACTCATTTCAGGTGTGGTGATTTATCCAGAGGTTTGTCTGAACATTGACAGGCGTTTGGAGAATAATTGCGCAGCTCAACGTTGCACAGAGATGGATTGATGGTGGTGTTATGGGGCTTGACATGAGCAGGTCTTGATGAACTTGAATCGCATTATGGCCAGTTGTGCTGAAAACCTCTTTGTATCAATGAAAGCTAGTGCCGGCATCAGCTTCTACAGCACCTCTTCGAGGTCACCTTTGCCAAGGTTAGAATTCTAGGTATTTTGCCCATGGAACTCTCACAGCCCCTATGTAGAGCGCATTGGCGGCTTCAATGCAGCCGCCTGTAATTAGAAATCTGTGAAGTCTCGACTGCAGAGCCTCAGCAAGCGTCAACTTCACGCCCCAAGCCCTCATGCCTTTGCTCTTCTACTCAGCCCTGTTCCATAGCCCCTGTCAAGATAGCTCGGGTCCTGTGCATGGTGAGCATGCGGGTAACTCAATCGTTACAAGTCATCATCGCGAGCTGTATTCCTGACAGGAGTCAATGTTTTACAGTCCATGTCGAGCACCATTCTGAGACAGTTCTAGTTTGAGACAATTCACATTTCCTGAAGCGCGCTGTGCAAACCCCCAGCAAGCAGTTGAGAATCTTGATCGCCAGCGGAAAGGTATCCCCACGTGGCCGGCACCACAAACCCCATGACCGCCGATGAGTGGATGAACACAAAGGGCTTGTCTGTGTCCGCCACGAAGGAGGACTTCTGCCCGGTCTAGATAGAGGTTGAGGCCTTCTAGTTTTCGTGCTTTTCAGCACCCTACTTCGAATCGGGCCTCGGGGACGAAGGCTTAGGGGTGGATCACATGCTCACAGCTCACATTTTGCAACACCCAAGATGTTGACTGCCGATTAAGTATACGCAAAACGTACTAGACAGGATGCCAGATTTGTACATGCACGTGCAAACACACTTCTTGTTTTTCTCGCGTCGGGCTTCCAGGAATCATATGCATTTTCACTGGAAGTGTGTCCAACATGCCTAGCATCGCACCCAAAGCCACCGACAAGAGCATCATTTCTAGCACAGATACCAGTAGATATCAGTGGATTCTTCTGACTCTTCCAGAGCAATGGAAGGCAAGCGGGACAAGGCTTTTGACAGGGTCTGGACTGCCGACAGCTTGAAGCAGTCCAGCACCTTGCCTGCAATGATGCCCAATGAATCTGCAGAAGAGCAGGCCCCCTAAAGTTATAGTCCCCCTTAAGTGGATAGAATTTGGGGTGTATGGGGATCTTATTATAGTATACCCAAAGCAGTATTCTATCTACTTAAGGGGCACTATACCCCTGCAGCCAGATCTGCAGGCTCAACTCTTCTGCACGTGGGGGACAGCGTTTTCTACTGTGGAAGTTGGGCAGGTGACCAGGCATCTCAAGCAGTGCAGTATTACGGGAGGTCTGCTCGCGTCTTGCGGGTACTCAACCACGGGGAGTTGAAGCTCCAATTTTCAGATGGTAAAATCCGCTGCACGAAAAACTGGTCAAGACAAGAGCCGACATTGCCTGGCAAGTTCCGCAGGCAACAGCGGGTCTACTATGTTGGCAAGAGTTGCTTCAAGCATGATAGGGATTCTTGCTTGTTCGGGCATCGTCTGAAGATTCTGGGGCGAGCGGCTTCCAACGGCGAAGAGCTGATTGCTTTGCAGCTGGAGTCTGGGGACAGACATCTCGCTCGCCACACAAGCTTAAGTACGAAGGAACCTCGCCACTCCAGCGGCTTTTTCCTTCACCAGAAGGTGCAGTGGGCGGGCGGATCTCTAGATATTCGCACCTTGAAGCAGTCTAGGAAACATAAGGATCACAAATCGCAGGGATCTCTTTTGATCATGTAGGGTTGGTTCTTGGACGCTCCGAGATCTACTATGTTGGATCCGCAATCGCAAAGCGCCACTCCCCGCCTACATCTTACTACGGACAAGCAGCAGTGATCACCAGCTTCACACCTCAAGCCAAGTACGTGTGGCTCCGGTTTGGTGATGATTACCCAGTGAAGACGAGCAGCTTTGTGGTTTCCGCGCCAAAGGTCTGTGGAGATCGCTTTCGCATTGGCGATGAAGTCTATTATGCTGGCTCAAGCGAAGTCCTCTTTGGCAGGAAGGCCACCATCAAAGCCGTTCTTCCAGACACGACCGGTGGGCTGCTAGTTGAATTTCGTGATGGAACTACCAAAGCAACCACGGAGGCCAAGCTGAGCCTTCAAAAGCCAAGGGGCCCGAGGGAGCAAACAGCAAAACTGTTTGCGCCGCCGCCTCGAAAATGTCAGTTTCGGCATGATGCGTCCATGTGGATGTCTACCGCTTCTGCTGTGGACAATGAAAGGGATCGTCTTCCACTTGAAGAGATATTTTATTCCCAAGACTCAATCAAAAACAAATTCCAAGATGGTCGATCCTTGGGCCAGATGGAACGGGAACTGCGTGTCGGTGAAAAGCAGTTGTCAGACATTCCCCGCATTACAGTGGTAAGGCATGAAGGGCGATGGTTCTCTGTCGACAATCGACGTCTGTGGGTGTTCAAACGTGTCTTTGGCCCGCAGCAATCAGTACCGGTCTCCCGCGGAGCACAGGACCACCGGTTCTGGAGCAAGTTCACCACCAACAACCAGGGAGTGGATGTGCGTGTGAGGTGAGCCGTGACACCTTCCCAGACGAAGTCACGAAGACCTGCTGCTCTTCCACTGTCTTGCGGTATAGGGTGCAGGCAGAGTTGTTTTTTCATTTCAGGGCTGCGTGCAGGTTCAGGTTTACAAGGCGTTATGACTTGAAGGAACCGCAGAACCCAAAGGCAAGCGTGGTATCCTTTGGCAAAGGTCACAATCTGTAATCAGCTTCCAAGTGTATGGGGCCTCTAGACTCAGAGAGCTTTCTGAAAACAACTTGTAGCTTCAGTTATATAGAATTCTTAAGACCCAGCTGAACTTTCTACGCATGTTCAAGGGAACTTGGAGGACTCGGAGGAACCATCATTTAAGGCCTCCTGGTTTTCCGAACGACCAGCAAGCCAAAGGCTTGGTGAACCGCAAGGAGGTTTGTAAAAAAGGGTACTTGAGGGCTTTAGAGACAGAGGCTCTCAAGCCGAAACCTTACACCTCAGGGCCTCAGGGCCCCTCCTGTCCCACATGGTAGTGCGGGACAATTGTGACAATAGGTTTGGTGGCATGTGACGCGTATGGCGAGGTAGAATCGTTGAAGTCCTAAACCCTAAACCCATGGGTTTGTTTGTCATAACTTGGGTGCTGCGCCAGAACCTCCTCCGCTACCCTTCTCATCAGTTTAGTGTTTAGGCCTTAATCGACCTCACCCCAAATGGTGGCTTCCATGGAAAGTGGTTCCAAGTGGGTTTCGGTTTAAGTTGAGCTTTCTAAAACAGTATTCATGGCCAGTTTTATACAAATTCTTGCCAATACTACCTCTCCTCCACTACTCTTAGTTACTCCCTCTCACTCTCTGTCATCCTCCTCTCTCGCTCTCTCTCTTGATCTGGCTGGCTGACAGACCTCTACCAAACCTGAGCCGTAAATCTACGCCAAGCCCTCGAACCATGAGAGTTCAGACCCCGACTCCTAAACCATCCACGTCCTGGATTCGTAAGCTCTCTTCAACATGTGCTCTACGCCAATAGAACCCTATAATCCCTATAGTTTCCATTTTCTTTTCCATTATCCCCATATACCCCCAATATAGCCCTATAACCCTAAACCTTGAACCCTAAACCCTAAACCGCTCTCTCGCAACCAAGAGGACATGCGGCGCTACGTGGAGGCAGTGCCTGCCGTGAAGCCGAAGGCAGAGATCCCATGGTCGACGCATGAGGAGCTGGTGGCCCCGAAGAAGAAGCCGGGCTTTGCATGTAGGGTATATTGGGACAATGGAAAAGAAAATGGAAACTACTGTAGTGTAACAGGGTATATTTTGGGGTTATATACAGGTGTTATTGGGATAGTGGGAAATAAAATGGAAGCACGTAGGGGAAAAGTGTCCAGGGTCTATAGTCCCCCTTCGGTAGATAGAATATGGGGTATCTGGAGATCTTATTATAATGTAGCCACATTCCATAGGGGGTCTTCGGCCTACATATGAAAAAATGACTATTTAAGATTGATTCCTCAGGGGCTTGGTGTTTGGAATTTTGAATGCAGGAGTCTTTGGTTTGGGCCTTAGGGATATGGGTCTCAGATTCAGCGCGGAAGAATAGGTCCACGTGGCACGCCACTACAATAGAGATTGCAAGACAATCATTTGTCAAGTGTTCATCGTCACATTCTCCAAGTTATCGGACTCTACAGGATAGGCTACCAGCTAAGATGCACGCTGTGCGCTTCCTGCTTAGGGAGGGAGGAGGCGGCTCCATGTCTAGACGTCAGTAGATGCAGAATCTTCTTATTCGAAGTCATGTGTTTCCTTATTTGCCCCTCCCTGACTCATGAACTCAGGGAAAACTCAGATGTCTGCATGCGATGATCCAAGATTTTAGCTCAAAGATTGAGTCAACGGGGTCATGACTTCCCTGTAGAGCTTGCAGTAAAACTTGCCCGTGTTCTCGTCAACAAACTCTTGAGCCTTGATCATCGAATCCAATCCTATAGCGAGCAGGCCCCCATGCTTTATGCACAAGGCCATGACGTTCTCAGCACAGGAAGGAAGGCAGCGCCCCATGAAGGATCCTACGACACTGCTGTACTTAGAAGATGGGCTGTTGCTCAAGAAAGACAGCCTGAGCCACAACTGATAAGCACGAGCATGTTGGTGGTCATCATGATGCTGCAAAACGATTAGGGCACTTAACGCTGAGAACAGCGGCCAACACCCTCCCAGCCGTGATGTTACAACTAGGTTTCATGAAGTGGGCAGGCCCTCTTTTCCTGGAGGGGCATACCCTGTGACCCTTTACACACAAACAGTACCCTAGACCCTGACCCTGAAAAACGAAAAAAGACGCCTAACCGTAAACGTTCACCCCTCCTTGCCTCCCCATCGCACCGCCAAACATGGCCCAAGGAAGCCGGCATCTTCAGGAAGGCTCCTTCGAAAGCTTCTCTTTGTTTTCTTTGGCCTGGGTGCGCTCTACTCCTTTGGAAGTGGCTTGGGGGAAAATAGTTTTTGAGATGGCGTCAGAAGGAGATGGAGTATGTAGGGATGCCGGAGGGACTACGATTTCGAAGGTTGCTTTTGGAAGCTACCAAAAACAATCTACATTCGCAGTGTGCAGTGCCTTCATGTGCCTATGTATTCTGAAGTGCTTGTGGGTGGGGGAATATGTCAGTCTTCATATTCTCTGAATGTCTTTGGTGATTGAATTAAGAACACGCACAGTACCCGGGCTTACAGGGGCGTCGTGAGGTCTTCTGGCACTTCCTTGCGTGTGTCACTTTAGGGCTGAGATGTTCATATCTCTGCAAATTCTTCAAGTCTTTCCAGAAATCCTACGTGCGAAGGGTCAGGAGTTTAGCTGGCTGCGTTAAGTTTCAGGGGACTCACTAACTTTTGGATGCGTTGACGGGGGTCTGAACAGGAATGCCCCTGAAATGGATTCAGAGCTGACATGCCTCTAGGTCCGCAATGTTCTGTATCTGTTCCCCTCCGGGGTTCTGGTCATCTTTCGATTGCACGAAAGGGTCCCTCTGCGTGGCGTGCATATCGAGCCATGTGACACTGTGATGGTCCAACGGATGTCCTAGAGTTTGTTTCAATATTAGCTCTGAGTTCTCGGGCAGTCTGAGGTCATGCTTGGCAAGTTGCTCGCAAGTCGAGATCACCGCTTCTGCCTGTTGTGCACAAGCAGCATGCATGCTGAGCTGTGCCGCCTCAGCACGGGCTCCGATGTAGAGCACCCGTGCTTGCCCCATTTCACGAGGCGAAAGTCCGTTGACTGCCGGGGGCTGAAATATTTTGCTCTTCGACCTCATGGCCAAAAGAATAGCTGATGAGGTGCATCTTGCTGAACCGCGCAGCCTGCGTTGAGGAAATCGGTGCTTGCAGATCATGACTTCGTCTCAGGCTTCGGTAACCCAGAGTGCAGCCCACTCATGTTCACACAGTGCAAGCCACCTAAGTACTAAGGGGGCTTTGTTGAGACACGTACTTCCCAATGTCATTGTTCCTGAACGTATGCAGCAGCAGACAGGAAATCAGAAAAATTAGAATCTTACTTTACATCCACACACCAGCCATATTTCCTCTAACTGCGGAAGGCCGCATGCATGAAGGCTCTCCTGAGTACTTCTACTTTATACCTGGAGGTTCACGTTCATCATAGCCTGGTTGAACTCGTGATCAGTCTTTCTTGGGGGACTTGAAAGGTTTTTTTCTGATAAGGTTTCACGTGAGGGCACATGTCAGTTGCACTAAGTCCTGAATCTCCAAGGGTTTCTGCGACAGTCAACATCAGAAAAGGCGTATAGCGAGGTTTTTGTAAACCATAGTCGCGCCCTGGATGGGGACGTCAAGATTTCCGTGAGGACATTCCAAGGCAAGACCATGTTGGACGCCAAAGACGTGCAACGCCTTTTCCTGTCTCCTTTGCTATGGGTCCCAGTCAATCACCAAGGGGCCGAGGGGGGTTCATCATCCAACAAATTCTCCACATGTTCTCTTGCATGTGGTTCTCTGCTCTACCGTATCCTCTAAACCCCGATATGAATCTATATAGCCTCGTATCACTCTTAAAATCCCTACATGACCCTATGCCACCCTCTATGGGTAGTTTCCAAAATAGGGAAACCCCAATATAGGCCCCCAAATACTACAGTCCTTATTCCGGGGACACCCAAATGGGACCCCCCAAAATTTGGAAATGAATAACTTTAAACCTATACAACCCAGTACCCTATATATGACCCTACCTACCCCCTATAAACCTATAAACCCCTTAAAAAGGTACACCTAATTCCCCTATATACTTCTAAGCCATCGAGTCTGAGGCTGCTCCAACGCCAGTCAGGGCCTTGAATGGCATTGTTGGTATTTCCAAAAACTGTGTGTCCCTTTTGGAGGGTCTTGTAGTGAGAGTTAGCAATGATCAGGATTTAGGGTATGAAGTTTAGGGGTCCCAATATTAAGACTTTGAATGGATTTAGGCGTATGAAGGGAGACGCTGATTTTTGGAAGCTCCCTTGTAACGTTGTAGGGACTGTGCAACGTGAGATATTCCTCAAAAAGGGAGGCCCCTTAAAACTCCAAGGATATGTAGGAACGATAATCGGAGTATGGGGGGGCGGGTTATCTTGAGAAATGCCCATGTAGCAAGGCCCCCAAAACGCACTTATTTATGATGTATAATGCTGGCTTGCGGTACCGGAACACAAGCTAAGTTACGAAAAAAAGAGATACCATATTATTCAATATTATCCGCGATATACCCACATTATGTTAGCTTAGTTTAAGTTCCCTAAAAGTCACCCAGGTTGTCTCCCAGGAGGGGGAATCCACAGAACCGTGCTTTGAGCAAGGGATCCTTCTGTTAAACCGGTGCTTTTAGGGTTTAAGGTAAATGGTTGAGGGAGCAATACAAGAGACGGTTCTGAATTGACGGATGAATCCTTGGGCCCCCTAACCCATCTTCTTCAGGGCGCAAAGGTGCAGCAGGAGCTCACCAACCATGGGTTTGTAGGGTCTACCTCTTGTAGTTAGAAGCAAATGGAAAGTGAAAGGGAGAATCGGGTTATGTAGAGGTTCATAGGGTTTAGGATCTCGGCTGAGATCACGAGAGCAGGGTGCTTGGTTTGAAAGATGCTATAGGAGCCTAAATAATTACCAATATTAGGGTTCCATATTCCTTATTATGGTCTATGGTACCCCAAGCGGACCACAACATGATAGTGTTAATTATCTGATTAGGCCCCTGTGGTATGGTCTTGCAGCTGTGGAAAGACTACCGGGCCAAACGTCTTGATGTTTCAGAGCCCTGCATGATCCTATCCGCCATGTTGTTCCTGTGTTTTGTCGGCGGTACATGACGGCCCTATCAGAAATTGCTTGAATCTTCACTGGCTCTCTTACGATTGAATGGATTCATGATTTAGGGGTTTCCCCAAATTAGTCGTACCAGTCTGGGCCAGGGGTCCCTAAAACAAGGACTATAGTTGACTATAGCATTTTGGGGTTTATGTTGGGGTCCCATGACACGAGCTATAGTCTAATCTCCTAGTACCCCCTAATAACCCCTATAGTAGTCCCCTATAGCATCTCCTATATACCCCTTTTAAGGAGTTTAGAGTATAGTTTATTTGATCTGGGCTGTGGTCATTCCTAGGATGTTACCGTCCCCCAAACCATCATTCTAATCCTTATGTAAACCCGAGGTTTAGGGCTTAGGGTTCAATGTAACCCCTACATATAAATTCCCTCGTTCCCTACTAAGATGCAGTATGCCTAAGCCTTTCACTTGCAACTCCAGCCCTCGCGGCATCATTCAACTTCTTGTACCAGGCCCTTGTGGGATTTGATTTCCCTGTCCCAATTTTCACTGAAGGTGCGATGAGCTGCGAGGGCCCCAGTCTGGACGCGGAGGGTTATGGGATGAAAGCCTCGGCACAGGCGTCAGAGTTTGCAGGCAAGTTTGCTTGGGCTTGGGTAGCTTAAAGTTAGACCACGGCCTGATGAAAAGGTGGCCTCCAATGATGTCGTGCTTGTTTGTTTTTATCCCTGGATGCACAGCACGGATGACTTAGCAGTGCGTGTGGCGAAAGTCAAGCCACAAACAAAGTGAGCAGTCCCTTTTCTTGTAGCTGAGGCTAGCATGCACTTCTCCCTTGAAGCCCATTGTAAAGCTCAACAAAGGCCTCCCCAGAGGCGTCACGCTTATCATGGCATTTTTGGGACTCATGCAATAGCCATATAGCTCAAGTCATCCCAGACCTGATATTGCTATGCCCTCTGAGGAATTCTCCAACTTATGTAGTGTGTGTGTGTGCGTTTGTGTCAAACCATGTTGCCTGAAGTTGTGCGCCTCGTGTGCAAGGAGGTCGGCAGAGGATGGAGAAATTAGGTTATCATTGCTCCAAGAACCTTTGGTGACCCCAAGGGTCCCAAGTATCCCCCTATTATGCCTTCAGCTCAACCCGCGCGCAACCATTGGAACCTTACGCCCTAAGCCAGACCCTGAATAATTTCCCCTCCTGGTCCCAGACTCCTTGTATACTTGTAGCAGAGGCACCTCAAATAGACCTTTAGTATATGAAATAGACCTTTAAAACATGCTGTTAATTCCTTCAAAAAGGTCGGCAGAGCTGCAAAGCACCAGGCACAAGTTGGAGAGCAGCTTGTCAAACTTGGGCATCTGACCTTGGGCTGCTGTTGGGGTTGAGGGTTTAAAGTTGAGAGGTTCATGGTTTAGGCTTCAGGGGCTTAAGGTTCAGGCTTTAGGCTTTAGTGACTCAGTGGGCTGACAGGGATTTTTAAGGGCTCAGCTCCTAGGCTCAAGGGCTTGGAGTTTAGCACTTGCTGGCTTACGTTGCTATGCTTGGGTTGCCGAGAGGCTGGTTGACTCATGGCATGTGACGGTCTAGTTTGGGAGCACTGTTGCCGAAACCAAGGATTTTCATGAAGGCAGAAGTCTTTAGTAAGGGGCTTCAACAGTCCAACTATGTCCAACTACTGCATTTCTTGAAGCCAGAAGGCAATAGGGAACCTTCCTAGCACTGTTTAAAAATACCTTGGGTCCCACAAATTTGTAAAAGCTCTTTTCTTTTGAATTTGGTCAGTGGTGAAGGACATTCCAAAGATTCTAGACGTATAAAGAAGTTGGCAAGGATTATACATGGGACCATGGCGCATCTTTGTCAGGTCAGCAGGGATGTACGTACATAAGCTACCAACCTACATCACCGTGATCAGCGTTGCCTCAGTTCCGAGGTACATAGTAACGCCTGCCTTGCTGTACCACGCGTATTCTGGGTCCAGCGAAGGTTGATCAGCCCTCCACTTTCTAGACGAAACTCCTGACTTCAAACACCAAATCCTGCACCCGACCCCATACACCAAAATTTGCAAGTCAATATTCAAGATGAGGCCGTACCTCGGAGCTGGACAGCGAGAGGATAAGATTTGCAGAGGAGAAGACGGAGTGGGATAGCAGGCGCGTTGAGTGTCGAAGTCTCACCGTTGGGAAAAACACTCTACGTTGGGTACTGCCCCCACTCTGTAACAGTTGAATAATATGTATGACGTGAGTGTATATAGCCATTTATAAGGCCCCTAATATAGACTGTTACAGGGTGGGGGCAGTACCCTTATGAACAGATACCCTAAACAGAACAAAACCGGTTACATTGTGCAGCAGAACGAACATTGCGATGATGGGTTGGACAAGAAACACAGCCTCCAGATAGGTAGTCCCAGATGGGTAATTACGCCTCTAAATTTCGTGTAAGTTTCATGTGATGAACATGCAGGCCTGATGTTTTGTGGGGGGGGGGGGGCACCCTCCTGACGACTACTCATTGGGAAGTGTCCTTGAGTCAGAGCCTCTATGTGAGCTATAGTCTGAACTCCAGGTATCCCCCTGAATATCCCCTATAATGCTCCCCTATATAATGCCCTACATAACCTCCTTGAAAGAATTTAGACTATAGCCTCTATGTGTTTCTTTGAAGGGTTTACGGAGTATTCTTGCACCTCCCAGAGCTCATCCTGCGCTCCTAGCAGTTTAGGGGTTAGGGTTGTGGGCCTTCTTACCGCGCAGATGGAAGAAGCCTGCAGCAAAAGAGTTTAGGGTTTAGGGGTTTAGGGTTCAGGGTTTAGGGTGTAGGGGTTTAGGGTTTAGGTAGCTAGTTTAGGGTTTAGAGGGCCTGGGCGACATGACGTCTGAGCAGATCATGGGGGTCTCACAGCGAGGGATCCCAGAGTCCTTAGAATAGGGATAGAGTTGCCTTCAGCAGATAGAATATAGGGTTTAGGGTTATGGTCTCCCTTTAGTAGATAGAATATGGCTTTGGGTATACTATAGTAAGATCCCCATAGATACCCCATATTCTATCTACTTAAGGGGGGACTATACTGGCATATTGGGATCTACATTGGGGCTTGGGAGGTTTGGGTTTGCCGTTTGGGCCTCGATAGAGTCTTTCCTTGTTTGTGGAAGACGGACAACTGCCTTCTCCTTGCAAATCCACTGCCAGGCTGCAAGCCCCTGCCGCACATTTGACTATATCTTACACCTTTTACAAATATTCTTTGCATTGTCAGAAAGAGAAGCCCTGTAAAAGCCTACAAAGACCAAGCTTCTAAGCCTTCAGCCCCAAGCCCTAAAGGCCATAGCCCTCAAGCCTGAGCCCTTAAACCTTAAAACCCTGAACCCTCAGACCATTTGCAACCCAAAGCAGAGGTACACCTCCCTGCGGCGGCAATGTGAGTCCCTCACCTCGGAGCGCAGCCAGCTGACATCTGAGATTGAGGCACGGGTTTAGGGGATAATGGAAAATCAAATGGAAACTACTATAGGTATATTGGGGTTACATATGGATAATGTAGATTTGGGGTTTCGGGCTTAGGGCTAGTGGGCTTAGGGTCCAGGCCTTTCACCAACATTACAGTAGGTATGTGGGCCTGGGGGGTTTTCAAGGATCCCCTTAGCTTCCGAAATCCGGTTGTGTATGTCAGAAGGAATGTGCATTTGCAGATGCGTGTCATAGTCCGTTGGGGTCTATGATCTTCCTAAGCAGGAGATCTTAACAGGCCCCATGCCGCACTGGCTCGCGAATCTGGAGGATACGCCAACTAGTCCGTTGTTGTCTCCCATCGCTTAGAGAGGCAGGTTGCCTTGGCAAAATTTGCTTTTGCTGCACGAGGCTGATATACGTATACCCCATTAGGGTCGCCCACAATTAGGCCTACTGAGGCTGTCCAAGTATCATGCAGCTCAGTTTTCGGCTTGGTGAAGTTTACACAGGGCCCATTTAGCAGCTTCGAGCCTCCAGCTGTGGAGACTGCGAATCTTGCAGCAACAAGCTCCAATGCCTCAGATTGCACAAGCCCGCAGGCTACTGTGCAGCTTGCCTGGATTGGAATCTGTCCAGGAGTTGACGGACCACGCCGCCGCCCTACGTGATGAAGCGCAGCAGCAGCGGCAGGACATCTTGTGGTAAGAACTTCCCGTGTGATCCCTGTGAGCCCTATAGGCAGCCTTCAAAACCCCTACACACACACACACACACGCGCGCGCACACACACACACATGTCACTGTGGCACCCATATCTCTGTGGCTTGGGATGAATTTTGCTGGGATCTTTCGAGACTTCTCTTCCTTGGTGTCTGGCCCTTGCCATGTGTGGAGTTTCAGAACTAGGGCCGTGCAGCTTTCAGACGGGAATTTGCTCCTTGAGCCGTTGGGGTCCTGGAGATGGCAATGACAAGCTGAAGCCTGAGACTTTGACCTTGAAGAGTCTGCCTTGCTGTTGAAATGGATCAACTATACTGTCGATTTAGATGCCAAAGCAATTGCTATTCTTGTGGTCCTGAATTCTTATAGAACTGCAGTACAGGGTACTGCAAAAAGGCCTCGAAATTGTATTCGGAACTATTTAAGCCAATTTAGGCCCCTGCATTAACCCTTGTCATCTTGCACAATAAGCGCCCCTGTGATTCTTTATTTAAAAGGCTAGTGGGGGACGTGAGAACATGAGCCCTGTCTGAAGACGCCATGACCGTCCAATTCTCACAACAGATGGACTCAACTCACCCAGTGCCTGTTCCGCGTGAGGAAATGGAGGAGGCCTACGAGAGCACCCTGGCGGAAGCCATTTGCTATGGGAGTCTCTGATGCTCAATTAACATGAGTCCTGTTCAAGACAGCCACGAAAATTATCTAAGGTTTTCGGCCATAGGAAACGTAAGCTCTCCCTGCAATGCTGAAGACAGCAACACATGCGAGGCCGCTTTCTTTTGCTGATTTGAGATCCCTCCAGCTCTTGAAACCTAGGGCCTGAAAACCCTGAAGTTTGAGGTCCTTGTAAAGCCGGCTCGGACCTCTCCTAAATGTTTGGAATGTGCAACACAGTACCTCTATCAATCCCTGTAGATGAAAGAGACAAGCAGGATCAATGTAAAATCTCGAAAGCGCCCTTCAATCCCAATAAGCCCCTGTGAAAGCCATTGCACAGAAGAGACACAACCTTCAAAAAAGGACCCTAGACCCTAAAAAACAACTGGATAAAAACCTATGGGTGGCACCATGCATACGTGCTTCCTGCGATATGATCCTGGGTAGGCCCCTGGGGTATTTTACATTTTCCCTAATGGCTTTAATAGGGGACCCTATATAATAACATTTTTCAAAGGGTTTTAGGGGCCAACCCAGGATCCCTCAAACCCTTTCAAGAGCTTAAGCTTCTCAAAGCTAGATGGCAGCCTCGGGGTTTCATTTTGGTACTCCGAAATGCAATAGGGTTTTAGGCGTTTGGGGTTTAGGTGTGCAGGCCCAGATGCAAAAAAAAGGTGCCGCAAATGCTAGATGCTTTGCCCGAACTGGCAATAGTTTTGAGAGACATCGCTATTAACCCGATGCCCCATACACGCAACCCTAAGCGCTCGGACCCTAAGCTCGAACTCCCCCAACCGTGTGGATACCTCCCGGCCTAGGTGTCACCTCAGTCCTGGAGCGCGAAAGGGAGGATGCCAAGAAGGAGGCCGCTAGTGGTCGTTGGAGTTACCAAGGGGTCACCATTGCCCCAATTTGAACTTGTGAAAAGGCAGAAGTCTACGTGGTACCCCTTTTAATTTTCCGTTTCCAGCTTCTTTTGCAGGAGTGTATGATTGCAGGGTGTGAGGAATTGCAAAAATCAGGGTCAGGGGCTTGATGTTCACGCTTCAGGACTCAGAGGACCTTCGAGGGAACCCGGGGACACAAGTGACACACCTCCTTAGGCTTTTCTGGGGGCCTTTAATAAGAGACCTTTGACAAGGCGTCCCAAATTCACTTAACTACCTATACGGGCTTCTGGGTTTCGATGTAAAGGTTTGAAGGGGCTGGGTGACTGGGCACGCGACTGTAAGTGTCTTAGAATGCAACTGCTTCGACTTAGAAACTGCGCCTTATTCGTGTTTACCGCAAGCTAATGGGGTGTTCCTGGTGGGTCTCCCACCCCTATTCCCCACTCGACTACGGGTACTTGAACCAGATTACACCGTGGACCATCCTGTAAAGTCATGACTGATTCGTTGCTTTTGCTTGGGGTTCTCATGCTGAGGTAATCAGTGGATACGTGATGTCCCTGAGAAGTTTGCTCAAGGATGTCTACAAGTCTTAAGAGCACAGGTGTTAACCTTGCGAGACATGCCTGACTGGGTGTAGTGGAGAGGAGGCCAGGCTAAGGAATGCTCTCAGTATTTGAGCGGAACAGCAGTCACCCATTACTCATCATTTCTCTAACTTCTACTGTGACTATTACGAGTACAGGTTACTATTACTCTTCGTAGTAGTAGCTCTAGTCTATTTCGAGTGCATACTAGCACGCTTATTCTGATTCTTACCTACCCTATTATTACTAGTACTGTTTATGCTTTCGGAGAGTATTCCTGAGACCCCTATGTGGGCAAAGCTATGTCCCAGAGCTAAATCAGATGGGCGGGGCGGGAGCTGCAATCATATTCAGGAGTTCTTCCATAGTTCCCACCACGGTAGTCGCCCTTAAGTAGATAGAATATGGGGCATACTGGGATCTTATTATGATATCCCAAAGCCATATTCTATTTATTTAGGGGGGACTATATCCTGAAATTTCATCACGAGGCAGCCCAGTAGAAATTCACCGGGCGGCTATGAAACCCACGCGCTGCCGAACAAGCAAGGGCTCTGTTGTATGCCCTCGACACTTGTGAGGATTCTTCGTTCACGGCTGCTCGACAAACAGATACAGGGAATCTATGCTGACTGTTTGCTGCATGTATAAAATGAGCATGGAGCCCGTTTTGTAACTACATATGTTTTGTTTGGCACCTACTTGGGGGTTGGGAGGATACTACTTCGCATCATTGGGATGTGCAGGCAGAGGCTTCAAAGACCCAGATCCAACAGATGCGAGCGGACTGGCTGTCGCGGTGGGTTTGAGAGTGGCAGAAGGGTCACTGGGGTCGTATGTAGGTGTATGGAGGAGATCTTGCACCACTTGCAGATGCGCCATTATACTGGAATTCCTAGGGTGCAGAGTATATAAGGTAGTGCACGATTTCCTCCATCCTCAGCAAGTACGTGCACGCGGAATATGCCAGAAGAGGGCTCTCAGTCACCGGTTCGCTTGTGATGACGGTCATATGGGGAATTTTTGGCTTTTAGGGATTTTATAGAGCCCACTTACAGAGAAGCAAGTGAAAAAGAAACTTAAAGATTCAATGTATATTGTTTCACAGGTTTGTAATAGCTGGGTAGGCCCCTGCAATATTTAATGTTTGTCCTAATGGTTTTAAATGGGAACCCTACATACGAACATTGTTCAAACAGTTTCAGGGGCCAACGCAGATTGTCTTCTTGGACTGGATGTCCATTCTGGGCTGCGGACGTCATGCAGCCTGTTTACTGTCATTGTATCAACTTGCTTGATCCTGTGTTAGATTCTGGGATAAGTCGTAATACTAGTAACTAGTAACCATAATATTGATAACACGACTAATTGAAATAATGGTTTCCTAAATCCAAATCGTTTTCGAATGAAGCTGATGACAAAGCGGTTGATTGTTTTCAGCCGTCGCTGACGGGCAGCAGCATTTCAGAGGCCTGTCTGACAAGACTGGAACATTGCACACCCCTAGGGCTGCCCGAAGGTTTAGGGTTTAGGGTTAATAGGACTCCAAATAGCCGACTGTAGGTAGCATCTATACACTTTGGAGATCGAAGTAGGTGTCATTCATAGACCTGGAACCCCAGGGTACAGGCAAGTGTCTCTGAGCTTTCCGCAACCTTGGTCAATGCGTAAATGCCCGAGGGCATCATTACGGTCCGTTTCCAGATGCGTCTTCAGCTAGAAGTATGGCTCGTAGCCTATTCCCCCCAAATAACGAGAGAGCTCCCTCTTTGAATAGTACTCAAGAAAAATTGCTGTCATTATGGAAGCCTTAGTAGATGGATAGACGGATGGATAGAATGGGTCCTGAGCCTGATCATGGAATGAGCTGAAGGACTACGAGCTTCTGCTGCAGCAGAACAAGGAGGAGCTGGAAAAGGCACCCCTCCTGCGCGCACATCTGAGCTTGAGGTCGGAGTGTAGGGTTAACGTGTCGAGTCTACCAGCTGGGTTCAGGACTAAGAATCACCACAAGTTGTGGTTATGGTTTAGGATCTTAGGAGGGTAGGAGGGCTTGGACTTCAGAATTTAGGGTGGGCTGGGGGAGCGGGTTGCTTGCACATCCGCATGGCACAAGAGGTGCCAAAAGCTTTTCAGAGCTCTTTCTTAGTGTGCATCCAAAGGCTCGGATGTGTATGGGGGCCGCCATTCTGAGGAATTGCCAGATAGATAGGAACTCCAGCAGAGATCTCCCAGGATGCTGTCACGCACCTTACCTGGTCTGCGCACCAAAGAGTGTGTACTAGAGATGGAAAGCGATGTTGTGCGATGTTGCATGACATTCTGAGAAGGCTTTTTGAGAACATCATCGCCGCAGTAGCAGTATCGGCAGCAATCTTAGCAATAAGGAGGAGAGCTTGCCTGGACCAATTTGTGATGCACGACACCTCGCATGTCGGTGTGAACAGGCAGGTCACCAGTAGGGCAAGTGAGATAAGGCACATGTCAGTCAGTACGGAAATGTTTTTTCGATCTAGCATACACACATGGAGTCGTGTAGAATAGCAAGGGATGAAGTACTAGGCTATCATGGTTGAGGTAGGTAGGTTGCGTGGATAAAGCCTGGCAGTTGTAGGAAGAATGGCAGCCAGTAGGAGCGGCAATGGTGCCGCTTGGAGGTTCACGGGTAGTTAAGACTGAGTTAAGACTGAGGTTATTCGTATGTTGACTATGGGCACAACCCAACTATGGCACTTGTAGGGCTACTGATAACTACCGTTTGAACCTCCAAGCAGGCGCTGAAGCAGATGCAAGCCGAGCACGTGAGCGCCATGGAAGGGCTTCGGCTGCAGCAGCAGCAGGAGCTTGAGGTGGGGATTTTTGCGGTTTTGGAGCCCAGGATGTAGATAATGGGGATTCTAAAGTCTAAAGGAAATAACGGACTGTCTAGGGATTACCGGGAATAGAGATATTACCCCCAAAACCAACAGGGGAGATTCATATAATGAGAAATGAATGTTACAGGTACTGGTAGCAGGGTAGTAGTGTGACCATTCAAGTAGGGCAGGGTTTGAGGTTGTATTACAGTATAGATTATGGTCCGCCTTAAGTAAATAGAACATGGGGTATATGGGGATCTGATTATAATATACCCAAAGCCATGTTCTATCTACTTAAGGGGGACTATACAGTCATACAAGGAGGGTAGGAAAACCACGCTGGTACTTATTAAGGCGTTGTTTGTAGTTCAGAGTTCAGGGTCAAGGCTTTCGTTTTCAGGCTTTCAAGAAGAAGTGCGAGGATCAGGCTTGGCAGATTGAAAATATGAAGGGCTTTCCCGTGCTTTATTCAGAGCTGATCCATGACTTCTTCAGGCATACCTTCCCTCATCTTATCCGGGCTGGAATGTTAAAGTCCATTGAAGTTAGATACGTGCCATGACTGTCCCATGCATTTATTGAGAAACTCTGTAGGTATCTCCAGGCTTAGGCAGAAGCATAGGAGGATGATGTTCTGGGGACCCATCTCAACCGGACCCAAACCTGAAGGTCGCCATGGCAAAGCACCAGACAGAGATCGGGGAGCGTGACCGCCGCCACTTGCTTTCCAGATCTTGGTGTTATGGGGTTTGCATCAAATTTCAAAGGATGCACGGTTTCGAGTCCGACCTAGACCTCCAACATGCACCAGAATTTCCAGTAATTGCTTGATTCCCCAAGAAGTTTTATTGGAGCAGCTGCTATTTATTGAGGAGGCGCTGGACTTTGTGGGTTAAGGCCTAGATTGAATTCTTAAGAACCCGGGTAGGAGTTGCGGATGAGGGGCCCCTATTTGGGGAAAGTTCCAAATAGGGCTGTTGAACACAGCGGCTTCCAGTGTCTTGGAGTGTGGTGCGATGCCATTGCAGTACAACGCCACATGCCCTCCGCCGCTGCCCTCAGCTCTTGAAACGAGTCAAGAGAGAAGCATTCACCCACTCATTCCACGGGCCTTCATATTCTGTACACAGTACACAAAACTCCGCGAATGATCATGTAGATCTCTTGCGGAAGCTTTCCACGATCTAGAGGCCCTGACCGACATGCGCCGAAGAACGGACTCGCAGTGAAGGACCTCCGCAAAGAAGTACGTATCCTGTTTTCACCTGTCCAGAATCGTAAGCACTCGTCTTGCGAACCCCATTTGGATAAACGCCCGAATCTGAGGCGCCACGCTGAAATCAGACGAGCACCAGAAGCGATTGAGCGAAGTCCTTCTCGTTTGGGTCCCAGCTTTGGGTTGTTCTCTTTCAGCACAGACGACTAAGGCTTCATGCTTGGTTTGGACTGTTCAACAACTTTGTGTTTCTCAGGTGGTCGAGGATGTAGGGTTTAGGAAGTTTGGACAGGATGGTAGGATTACGTGGGATTTGGGAAGCAGTCAAAGTTCTTCCCAAAGCTCATGCAGCAGGAATTACAGCACCATGTCAGGAATCCTAACCTTGTTGATAGGGATCAGCAAAATCTGCCAAAGAACTTTGGCGTCAACTCTGTGTAAAATCTAGAGAGTGTAGTGTGCGATTCCTACAAGGCTCCCGCCCTCTCGTTCCCTCTTTGGACGCCTTGCGGTCTCTAAGAATTATGAAGCCCTCTCCCTAAACCCCACAACCTGAAATGCCACAGGACTGCTTGTCAGGCTAATTCATGTTCAAAAACAATTTGTTTCGAAATGAGCGAGCAGACTGGGTCAAGCCGAACTTTCGGCAGACTGCGCTCAGGAGCGAGAAGGCTTAGAGACCGACAGGCGCCATGCAAGCTCTTGTCACTGCGCCAAGCATTCTCTTCTCTGTGGTTCTTCTCTCCTGCGGAACGGGCTAGACACCATGTGGCCAGGATTTTTGAGGATATGTAAGAAGCTACTGTAAACCGCAAGTGCATGTGTTGCCTGATTGCAGCTTAATCTGAGTAGAAACTTCAGAGCTTCCTCAGAACTGCGTGTTTCCACACTTTCCTCAACACACAGGCAGCTTCTTCAGAAACAGCTGGACCAGCTGAAGACCCAGATGGACCAGGCCACGCATGCGTGTCAGACTAAATCTCTAGAAGTGGCAACATGTCTAGGCTGGTCATGAGATTCGAAATTGTTCATGTTTGGCGAAAGCCGATAGGAGCCAAACCCTCGATTGATACCCCCTAAACCTCTAGATGAGCGATAGAGGAAAAGGTATTTGCGCTATGCAGGAGATTCAGTCCGGCACCCGCATGAGCGCTGACATGGTTTTGGTCTTTTGGTCGACCGATGCAAAACAAATGGTTTGTGCAGATCTGCACAATAGACGAAGTGACACATTTCTGTCGTGCAACAACGGTTCTGCCTGTACCCAGCCTCGCATCCAAACCTCACACGTACCCCGTGGAGACCCAACATACCCCAACGAGTTCAGTCCTTGATGATTCTTGATGGAGATCTCAACAAGGACATGTATGGCAAGCTCACATGCTTTGTAAGACGCACCCTACACACCCCAGACCGCAAGACCGTAACTCATAGGCTCCAAGCCCTCGGCTCGGCCCTAGCTTGACCGTAAACCTCAATCCTTATTGGTAGTATTCCTTAAATAGGGGGAGAGGCCCGATAACACTATAATCCTCATTCTAGCTCCCCCCCCCAGAAAAGTACAACAAATTTTGGGAAGCCACCCTGTTTCTCATCCCCCAAACCCTAAACTCTCTGATCTATGGAGCACAGATGGGCCCGTAGGCTTCAGAGAAGAGCAGGGCCGAATTGGACAAGGTGCTACGTGTGGTCCAGGAGCAGCCTTGCTGTATACATCCCCAGATGAGCTACAAGTATAGTCTAACTCCTTATAGGGGCTTATTTAGGGGATGATGTAGGGGAGTATGGGGGATACTAGGAGTTTAGACTATAGCTCAGATGCACCCGCCTATACAAGCCAGTATGCAACTGTCAGGCTCAATCCTATATATGATAGCGCCATATACGTTCAACATATAATCCCTATATGTAATGTGTATACCCCTAAACCCTAAAGCCCAATCCCTAACCCTAAAGAGTTCCAGCTAGGAGAAAAGCGTGTCGGACTTGGGTTTCAAAACATGGGCTGAGACTACAGGGGTCCAGCATCTGGGATGTAGGGTTCTTGTTGGAGTTCTTCTTGATTATAGAAGTGTGCATATGGGGGAGGTGTAGGGCGGGGCTGTATCTCTGTTTGTTAGGCTGAGTTCCGTTTTTCAGTGTTCTTGTTTGCTTGAGGGCTTAGCGAGCTTGTGTTCAAGCAGTTATCGGGTGGGGTTGCATGAGGGTTTGCAAGCTTTACGTGCGGGTGCCGAGCACTGTGCCAAAGCGCGCGTGGCAAACGTTAGCATGGCTTGCCTTTTCTGGGTTTTCTTTTGGGCACATCATCATCATCATCATCATCATCAATCTCCGAGGTCTTTATCCTGCAAGCCCCACACTAAATCCAGAAGTCATCAGAAGCTGGAGGAAAGGGAGGCCCTGCACCCCGACCTCAGCCCTCAACCATCAATTTCAAATCTACAGAAAATTCTAGTGGAAAATGCATAGTTATACTCTCCTGGCTTGACATGGAAGCCCCAAAGCAGCTGGACCCTAAACCCCTAACCCTAAAAACCCTAAGCCCTAGACCCTGCACCCCAAACCTTAAACCGTAAGCCCTAAACCCTAAACCCCAAACAATAGCACCTAAACCCCAAAACCCTAAACCCTAACTGGGAGGACAAGGACGCCGAGCTGAGGGCGCAGTCCGAGGACTTCGCGGCGCGCGAGCGGCAGCTGAAGGAGATGCCGGGGAAGATTTGTCTTGTGGAGGCTGCAACGCTTGCATAGGGATATGCATATTATGTATACATATATATATATGTGTACATGCAGATAGGCCACGAAAAAAAAAACATGTGGGAGGTGCGCAAGGTATACTACAGCTTACGGAGAGTTCTGCAGGGGCTACATGGCTACGGCCGCACTTTCAGGCGAAATTCCTTACTTCTGAAACATCACATGTTCTCAATTTAGTACCGGTACATCTGGGAGAAGTAATTTCCTTGGTGAGGGGTCCGAAATTGGGATGACATGAGTGGTCCAAGAACCCAGTACTCGTCTACTTCCCCAAGCCTGTACTACAATCCCTATTAAGTACCCAATTACTAGGTATTTGGTCCCTTCGGGTACGGATGGCATATCAGGGCTGCCCTCTCCCAAGCTAAGCCCTCCCTGACAGACAACCTTTTCCCAAAGCCTAGCCGACAATTTGGGGCCCAAATAACTGGAAAGTGTTGTTGGAACTATT